CTTTGTCAAGGAACTGTGGCAGAAAATTATTTAAATGAAGACACAGAAACTTCGCAAAGTGAGATGGACACAGAAGATGAATTTTTCAACAATGACGTTCCAAAAGGCAGCTGCAATAAAACGACGACCCTTAATGAAGTATTTAACGTAGCGCTAACATTACGGGGCAATCTACGTGCTAGTACAAAATCAATATGGTACGAAAACTGGCCGCCCCTTGCTTCTGACATAAATGATGAGAGTGTTAGGAAAATTGTTTCGCCAACTCTGTTTAATTTCCTCGCATGGATGCTTGGTTTTTCAGACGACCCGGACTTGTCGGAATATGTTGAAGTAGGGGAGAAGAACGCTATTAAACTTTATTCATTATGTCAAGATCTGATCAACGTTAGCAGTAAAGGAAAAATGCAAACGCCTAAATCCTTAACCTTGGCAACAGCTGTTAGACAAATTTCTGGCTGTTCAAGCCTGATCAGCCTTTTGAACGGTCTTGGACACTGTGTCTCCTTGTCATCCGCAATGGCGTATGATTCTGCCCTTGCCCAAACAACTATTGATACACCTAATATTGTTCCCAAAGAGTTTGTAGAGAAAGAGTATGTTAACCTGATTTACGACAACATTGATTTTGGCGAGGACATAAAAAAACAAACTCATGTCACAAACGGAATTATAACGCAGAAATTGTCAGGCCAGCAACACATAACAATGCAAAATTCCAGCATCGTCAAAAAGTCACAGCGAACTGTTAAGATGCCGAATACCAACATAGCAGAATATAGTATTGGGGCAAAAAAGACTCCAATATTTTTTGATATCAATCAAGTCGCCCGTTCAATGCTCATTGATAGGAACCATGAGTTAAATGAAGCAGCTCACAAGCTTGATTTAGCATATGTTTTAACGAAAATGGTTCATGTCACTGATGAAACAGCACTGCCTGGATGGACCGGCTTTAACACCATGCTTATTGAAGAAATACCTGAGGTATCGAGAGTGGGTTACCTGCCAGTTATGAACGCGCCACCAACTGAATATTCTACAATTAATGAAATTCTTAAAAGAAGCAAGAGTATCGCAGAGAAGCTTGACTTACAATATGCTGTCTTAGTCTTTGATGAAGCAGTTTACTCTAAAGCCCAGCACATACGATGGAAAGAACCCGTTTACTATGATAAACTGGTCGTACGTCTTGAAGAATTTCATACTGTCATGTCTTTTCTATCTGCAGTGTCAAAGCTCTTTGAAGATGGAGGACTTAAGGTGCGAATTCATATCTTAATTTTCACATATAAAACTTGTACAAGAAATAAGTGGCAATTAGATAAATACGTTTCTAAAAGTAATGATTCCGCAAAACGTTCTTTAGGATCTGTTAATTGACTCGGGTGTTGTGAGCGAAGAATCCGTAAAGAGTGTCCTTTCTGGAAAGAATTACAATAGATCGATGTCATGCCATAAAATTTTGAACGAAGCACTGCAACGTTTAAGGTTTGAAGCATACCTGGATGATTTAGAAGAAGAAAAAGATGGAAGAATAATGGCATTCCTATGTGAAATGTCAAATTCGTTTCCAGATTAAGGTTTCCGCGATTGTATTGAAATGGATGACGCGTCCTCCAGCTCCAGACTCCCTTCTTGATTTCGTAGACTGTCATTGTAAGACTTGGTGTTCAAGCATGCGATGTTCATGTAGAAAAGCTGACCTAGTCTGCACAGACTTATGTTCATGTGTTAACTGCGAAAATACATCAGGCGAATGCGACGAAGACAATTCAATAGATGATTCAGACAGCGAAAGTACTGATGGGGATTTAAACGACATTGACCAATTTTAAATGTGGAATATTATACTTATCAAATAGTCTTTAATGCGATGTATGAAATTTTATATTTTTAACTGAAATTTGTGATATTTCCCACAAAAAACATTGATAAAAGTTACCAACTATGCATAAGTTGTTGACGTCCGAGCAAAAATAAGCCTGATAGGAAACTGGAACTAGTAATATCACAGTAAATTAAATGAAGTATTCGGGAAACAATGGCGGCGATCAAGTTTCAAAGCAGCAAAAATTGTTGATGTTTGATGGCAAAATGCTCATAAACTGCAGGTTTATACGCGTGACAACAAGTAAATTCTTATTCAGAAAATGAAAATTTATAGATTTATTTAAATTAAACTTAGTGCCCGACCGATGGCAACGGAATTGTTTTTCTAAGCGACTTTCGGTGGCAAAGAATACGGCCTAACTCTCTTGAGGCCAGATGTTTTTTCAATTAAGTTTCGTTTCGTGATTATTGCTCGCGCAAACAATGGCCACAAACAGGATGAGTTGTTCGCCATGTCGGTTACTAAATGAAAAATACAGACATACGAACAAATAGTGAAAAGGGAAGCTGTAAAGCAGCACATTTGTATTAATGTAAAGGAAGTTTTTTGTTTGGTTCATTTTTAACCTTTTACTTTGTTCCCCATTCGCTGATATATGTGCTTTAATTCCCCTAGTTATTACTGTACTGTAAGTCTATATTATTTAGTCAATCTTAGCATAAATATTCGAATAAAACACTTCAAGTTATTGTAACAAAAAACAATAAAAATGGCTGACAAAAGTTTTAGCTAAGTACAGGACCGATTACCTAAAGCAATTTTATCCCGGGCTAAGTTTCAGCCAGGGCCCGTTATAGTATCCTATCAAAATAGCGTACGCGATTACACGAAAACAATTCTATATATTGTGCCAGATGCATCGCTAGATCCGTTACTTGTATCCATCACGTTGCAGTTAGGATGGATTATAGCAAGTTCTTCTTTTAACTCGATGACCCTTTTTTCTCTAGGTTTTTTCTGTGTCAATTTCTCGCAAAATTGACTGCACAACATGTTTAGGAACTTATATGGGTACACTTGTGTTTAACTGAAGTTTATGCAAAACGGACAAATATCCTTTTAAGCAAACATGTGCGTCAACGAACTCTCTAATTTATCTCTCAAGGTCATCATAGTTGTAGTCAATATTTCGCGTTTTTCGCTTAAAACTGGCCATTAGCCTTTTAATTGTAGCAATGTTAAATGCTTAACATACTGTATGTCACGATGTTTTTATGAAAACACACGAATTTCTTCATACATTAATACTTTAGAGAAATTATAGAAGATAAGTGTTTCAATGTAAAACTCTTCTCTTGCATTAGCTAGTTCTTGTGGGAAAGACCGCATGTAGTGCCCCTGTCGTTAGGAATAATTTATGTGTGTAAAAGTTTTATCGTCACTTGACATTCTTCACTTGCGGACTATTTAATTTTATAAAATATGCCATGATTCTATATGTCAAGGAAATGCTAATTACAAATGAGAGGACATAATTTCGAAGAAATTAGATCAAATGCGTGAACTACAAATATAAAAACAGCTGTCCATTTACTGAAATCCACTGTTTTTAATTAAATATTTTTCTTGCATGGTAGCAACAGTTGTTAGTAGCATAACTAATTATTTGCCAACCAATAAGATTCGTTCAATTTCATCAACATTCCTTCTATCTTAGCAACCCGCAGTGTTTGACTGCGACTCTACGTCTGCTATGATAAAGAGCTTCACACATTCTAAAAGGAATCACATTGAAACAGAAAGCATCATTTTCCTCAAGACGTTTTACGGTATTTTGACAAATTTCTGATTTAAACAAGCTCTTCACTCCTCTCGACACAGGTACGTCTGATTTACACGAATTTTGCCATATATAAGTAGAGACGTTTGTTCAAAGAACAATTTTTTTTAATTGTTTGGTTTATGATGTCTGATAAATGACTAACAAAGCGTTCAAAAATATACTGGCGATATTGCCAAAGTGATTCTTGTTGCTCTTATAATAGCTACTAAGTTCGTCTATTCTCACAAGATAAGATTCGTACCGTTATAAATGTCACTATTTTCAGACATGGGATTTCTAGAGAAAAACTGTTGTGATGCGAGTCATAACAGATCCCTGTTAGTGCTAAATATTTTCTATTAACCGAAACTTGTACTTAACGCTCCAAGGGCCTTATGTAGTGAAATGCATCATAATATAACTACTCCATGCGGTCTGCGTTAAAGAACTAAAGATTGACAAACTTTTAGGCGGACACACATGTGTGTAGCATCGTGTTGTGACTTTCTTTGATCATGGCCAGATGTTTTTGTCAGTTAAGTTTCGTTTCGTGATTATTGCTCGCGCAAGCAATGGCCGCTAATGGCTTGAATTGTTCGACACGGCGGTTGCTACATGAAAAATGCAGACACACGAACAAATTGAGAAAAGGGAAGCTGTAAAGCAATACATTTGTTTTGATGTAAAGGAAGTTTAAATCAAGAAAAAACATTCATAAAAAACATTCATACGTAAAGGAAGTTTTGTTGTTTGGTTCATGCCTGCCAACATGGCGGCGCCGCGGCGATGCCTGATTGCGGGCTAAAAGTTGACAACAAAATCGTCTAAGGTTCCGACGAGAGTGGTCCTTCTGTATGTATCTATTCTGTGCTATTTACATGATATATATATATATATATATATATATATGTGTGTGTGTGTATGTGACTATCGTTAAGTGTACTAAATTACATAAGAGTATGTTTATCTTTTTCGTAATAGTCTTAGCCAGAGCCTTTTCTAGAATGTACCAGTCGACTGTAATTAGTATTGCTTTGAGTTTCGATGATATCTTGTCCATATCATTCTCAAGTTTCCTCTTTTCTTTTGACCGTTTTAAAACAGCAGAGCGAAGCAATCGCTTACGAATCGCATGGACATCCTGGGCATTGACATTTCGAAGAGGGAAACAAATAAATTTCGGAAAAAGTTCGAATGACTGACAATCCTTCAAGAAATTCACATCGAGATCGGCTTTGCGTTTCTTCGTTGATAGCTTCTCAAGTGATCGAAAGTCGGACAGGGAAACTTTCCCTTTGTATTTATGTGCCTATTCATGTATGATATTCCATAATTTCTTAAAAGCACGATGGATATCAGACATTTTAAATGAACGACGAGTTTTTTATCGTAAACATGTTTCGGCATGCTTATGCCAAAATTATGGAAATATCATACACGAAATATCGAAATATCATATGGATAATTTATACACGAATTATCGAAATATCATATGGAAATTGATCCAACAATTAGATTTCAAATACATATTCCATTATGGTGCAGTAAATATCGAAGCAAAGAATTAAACCTATTTGAGGAATTATTTTCCATTAGCCTTACAGTCGCTTCAAATTTACCACATACACGAAAAAACACAAATTAAGGTACGCTAGTCACATAATATCTTATGATCATTACTCAATATGGCGACAGTCTCACTTTCTCCAAGGTAGTACGGTATTTAAAATCTCTAATATAAATGTTGTCAAAGGCATTTTTTAATAAAACGATGTTTCAGTTCAAGCCACAGCATCCAAACTATAAAACTGTGGAGAAATTACGAACATCCTATCAGTGGTGTGGTGGAAGGCATTTTAGGGCTTCTTAATAAAGAATTTTTCCTGAGAGAACTTACCCCAGGAATCCCCAAACATGACTCGCACCTTTCTCGGCTCAGGCTTTGGGCCCCGTATTTAAGGCTCGTTTTCAGTGGTAGCTGACGCTCCCCCTGGAGTGCTCCTAGCATGCAACTGATCCCCCCCTATGTTAAACAAAATTATTCAAAATACTTGTTAACCCAACAGAACTCTGCCCAAGATTACGCTACGTTGATGTGACTTACATAAATCAATGGCCACGCGGTAAGTTCCTTTCCCATAAACCAGGGGTCTCCAAACTTTATAGCTAGAGGGCCACATGAACTTTCATTATGAAGCATTGAAATATAAAAAATTTCCACGTTATCCTTCAGCTTTTTAAATTTCGCAATGTGCTTGAAACGAAAGTAGGAAGTTGGGACAAAAGTTGACGTAAGCCACTCTTGCAAGTTGGCTTGCGTCATAACGTGAACTTTCTGCACAAAGGTTATTTTGTTTAATCAAGGAATAAGGTATTTAATAATATTATTATTTTTTTCCTTAAGTGTCTCTCCGGGCCAGATTGAGAGGCCCAACGGGCCGCATATGGCCCGCGGGCCGTAGTTTGAAGACCCCTGCTATAAACTAATATTAAACGTTCATCCCCATGAATTACTTTTGTTGGTTTTATCAACTCTTCATAGTCCGATAAATAGTCATGTTCAAACGTCATATGTTAAGTGGCACCAGAATCAATTATCCAATCAAATCTATTCTTTTTTATTTGTGATAAACGCCACCTAATCTGTATTTTCTTGATGATCTTTTTTGGCACAATGTGCTGACTTTTTTCCTTAGTAGTGGAAATAAAAGATTAAATTGTTCTTTCTTTGTAGACAATATCGTGCAAAATGTCTTCATGAGTGACATATTCATTTATAAGAATACTGGTGTTCATTTTTGTTTTTGCTGTAGTCCTTTTTTTTCTTTCACCTTGAATGATCAGTGAGCAGCGTGAGTCTTTTCATCTTTTTTGCTATTTAGTATTAGATCTTCATCATTCGTTAACATTCCTTTAACGTTTTGATAAGATTTTTCTTCAATCGCATCTAAAGCTATAATCAGCGGCTTTTAGTCTTCCGACAAATCTGCAAGCAAGGTCTTTGCTAGTTTTTGATCATTATTTTCGAATTCCCATTTCTTTTAGTTGGTCGTGATGAGATTTTTATTTGTTGAGATGATCGAGTATGTTTTCACCACTTTTTAACGTTAAAGAATTATATTCTTGTCGCAGTAAGTCAATCTTTGAAATAGAAATTGTGGAAAACTGATTTCTTAAAATATCCCATGTCTCTTTCACTGTATGTGTATTCCTTACATTGATTTTCTGATCTTTTTGACTCCCAAATAAATGTACGTCAATCCTTTCTTCGAAGCAATTCCAAACGCTCGCTTCACCAGATGAGACGCGTCTTCTGGTAGGATTTCAACTGATTCATCCCATAATCAAACAAATTAATACTTTTCAGATAAAAACATCTATTAAGTGCCCAATTTCTATTCTTTTTAACTTCTGTATTTTACTTGAAAGATCCGTCAGCAAGGCCATACTTAATCTTAAGATAATTTAACGACTTATTGTAAAAATATACTCTTCAATATACATATAACAACGCTCCAGACACGCATTCAAGTCTCCTATTCCATGACCAGTTAAAATAATAAGACGGACCTTTCGTGTGTGACGTCATTTAAGTCACGTGCAAAGTTTTATCTCATTAAACAAAAATAAAACGGTAATCCCTGATTTCCCATTAATCTTACCTTGAATAACTACGTCAATATAGACAATCTAAACTAAATATTCAGCACATCACTTGATACATTATTGAAAACATCTTCTGCATCACCACGTTCTTACTCAAGTAGTCTGGTATGCAAGGAATCACTAAAAACAGAATAAAATTTACCTAATGGTTTTAAAAACTTTCTATAGTTGTCTTGATTTGAGCAAGAGTTAGATTCATTATGTCCTTTAAATGCCCGCTCTTTTTTAGACAAGACAACATGAATATTACTTTCTTCTCTTTTCTGGCTTTCTTTCTCATTATGTCGCTTCATGGCCACTCATTGTTTTTAAAAAATAATTTCTACACACTTATTTTAATCCATATCCATCTTGTTCAACATTTTGTACTTTTGAAAAAGCAATTTAAGTTTTTACGTTCCTGCAAACTGTCCAAGAAATGATGCATATGTTTACATAACCAATGTTGTCTAAGTTTTGCTTTAGATAAAACTAAAAGTAGGGTCAGTAAAAAACTGCTGTCCGTTGAAAATAGCACAAAACCATACTTTCCTCTCTTACCAAGGCGGCTAGAAGCTCCTGTCCTGTATTTACATTTCACATTAAAGTTCCACCAACCAAAACGCATTGTTTTATTTATGCAAAGTAAATAATTTCGTTTCACGTACAATGTATAAATTATATAGTTAATCCTTTACCTTAGCTTATGCTTGATTATTTATCTTAAATTGACAATTTTTAGTAAACAATTCGTGGTTTCTTAAAATTAAAAAACAATTTTTGCCATTACAAATCAATCTTCATAACCAATGGAAAACACAATTGTGCTACCCAGACAATGTGTCAGTTGTTACAAATTATTGCAAAACAAGTATATTTCAAATGTCATATGTTGTATATTTAATTTTCGGAATTTCTATATTTTAATCATGTTGAGATATCATGTTGAACTTTTGTACAGATGGAATCAAGAGGAACAAGAAATCTGTCTTACATTCAGCAAATAATCAATGTGGTACAAACGGAAATTGCTCAATTTTTCATTAAACAATGGAACTCTCGTTAAAAATCAACACATGGAGAATGGGATGATACCAAAAATAGTGGTAAAAAATTTTGTACTTTAGAATCGGGTAGGAAGTTGGATAAAAAACTACAGTTAAAATATCAGGATGGAGACACCAGTAAGTGGGACTGTACGATATTATTTGATGCAATAATTTTTTCAAATTCAATTGGAAAGCATCTTGACAAAAAAAACAAAGGATGCTGTTCATGCACTTCGTTGTGAAAGAAACAAGTACGCACATTGGTATAAAAAGGAATGCTTAGATGAGGATTTTGATGATATAGTCATATTCATTGAAAAATCATTTCAAGATTTGAAATTTTCCCTTGATGAAATCTATGAAATAAAAAATAATCGTAACAGTTTTAATTCATTTCAAGTTCTTCCTTCAAAACCTAATCATTTTTTTGTTGAACGTACAGAATTACGAGATAAAATTTTAAAAGATCTTGAAAAATTACGGAATGATAACAATGATAAACTGACATATTTCTACATCACTGGTAATCCTGGCAGTGGTAAATCTCAACTTGTGAGACAGGTTTGTGAAAAAATTTCGTGTGATTGGAAAAATAATACTTCCTTTGTAATGACTCTCGATGGAACAAATGAGGAATCTGTTTTAAAATCTTACTGTGAACTTGGATACCGTTTAAACTGTGACAAGTATATGATGAAAAACTTTGAAGATGAAAACTGTTCCATTACAGACAAAGTGAAGAATTTGCGATGGTTAGTATCCACACGATTAAAATTCTGGCAAAATTGGTTGATCATTGTAGACAACGTGGAACAGCTCTGCAAAATTTCTTCATTACTTCCCCAAGTTGGTGATCCCATGTGGATAAATGGACAAATCATAATAACCATCCAGAACACAGATGCCGCACCTCAAGACGATGAGTTTAACAAACATGTTTCCATAAAAAGTGGAATGAAGGATAGGGAATGTTTTCAACTGTTGAAGCATTACACTATTGAACATGATGATGATCAATTGTTGAATGAAGTATCACACGCATTAGATCGTCAACCACTGGCTTTGGCTGCTGCTGGTTGTTATGTCAGTCGTGTAAACAAAGCAAAATTTTCATTTACTTGGAGACAATATTTAAAGAAATTATCTTCAGGAGAACAAGAAAACATGGACGCTACTTTTGGTAAATTAAACTCGGTATATCCTAGAAATATGTTACAAGTTTCATATTTAGCTGTCAGGCAAAATGCTGAAGGGTCCTCAATATTGGCAATTGTTATTAACTTTTTTTCCGTGATATAGTTTGATGCTATATCACTAGAAATTATTGTTTTTTATGTTCAACAAATTGATCCCAAACACTCAAAGGAAGATATATGTCTTTGCTTAAAGGACTGTTCATTGTTCTTGCATTCAGAAAATAATGACATTAGTCTACATCGCATTGTTCACAAAGCAATTATTGTTTATCAATCTGAACTTTCAAATGAAGATCATGAAATAGAAGGTAACGTTGATGAAATATCAAAAGCACTTTACATGTTTAAAGAGAGAGACGACGAAATCAAATTAATGCCACATCTTGAAAAAATTGTTCAATTATTAAAGACCAGCAAGACAAAAATCAACATGAATACTTTACAAGTTTTCCAATATTTTGTTGAGAGATTAAGACATTTTGGAAAATACGATCTTGCTTTTGAACTATTGGATAAATTTAAGTCAGAAGAATGTAGTTATGACAAATCTTGGTATTTTAGTGTCCTCGGTCTTTTATACTATAACACCGGGAAGTATAGCAAAGCTAAAAATCATCATGAAAAAGCTCTGGAAATTCGAAAGCAATCGTTAGGTCCAAATCATGTTGATGTCGCTACGTCTTTAAATAATCTTGGTACGGTGTTACATATAACTGGATACTACGACAAAGCTCTAGAGCTTAACGAAAAAGCTCTGGAAATTCGAAATCGATTGTTAGGCCCAAATCATGTTGATGTTGCTGCGTCTTTAAACAATCTTGGTATGGTGTTTGTTGAAACTGGAAGCTACGACAAAGCTATAAAGTTTTACGAAAAAGCTCTGGAAATTCAACAACAATTGTTAGGTCCAAATCATGTTGATGTCGCCACGTCTTTAAACAATCTTGGTACGGTGTTTTATAAAACTGGAAACTACGACAAAGCTATAAGGGTCCACGAAAAAGCTCTGGAAATTAGAAAACAATCGTTAGGTCCAAATCATGTTTATGTTGCTGGGTCTTTAAATAATCTTGGTATGGTGTTTGTTGAAACTGGAAATGACGACAAAGCTATAGAGTTTTACGAAAAAGCTCTGGAAATTAAAAAACAATCGTTAGGTCCAAATCATGTTGTTGTCGCTAGGTCTTTAAACAATCTTGGTACGGTGTTTTATAAAACTGGAAACTACGACAAAGCTATAGAGTTTTACGAGAAAGCTCTGGAAATTCGAAAACAATCGTAAGGTCCAAATCATGTTGATGTCGCTGCGTATTTATACAATCTTGGTGCTGTGTATTCTGAAATTGGAAACTACGACAAAGCTATAGAGTTTAGCGAAAAAGCTCTGGAAATTCAAAAACAATTGTTAGGTCCAAATCATGTTGTTGTCGCTAGGTCTTTAAACAATCTAGGTACGGTGTTTTATAAAACTGGAAACTACGACAAAGCTAAAGAGTTTAGCGAAAAAGCTCTGGAAATCCGAAAACAATCGTTAGGTCCAAATCATGTTGATGTCGCTGCGTCTTTACACAGTCTTGGTTTGGTGTTTGATAAGACTGGAAATTACGACAAAGCTTTAGAGTTCCACAAAAAAGCTAAGGAAATTCGCAAGAAAAACGTTAGGAACTAGTCACGTTGATTTCGCTAAGTCTTTTAAACAATCTAGGTGTGCTGTATTATGAAACTAGGGAATATGACAAAGCTTTACAGTTACACTTTGGTAGCTACGTGTTTCAAAGAAAATTGTGTCTTCCAATTTATGTTAACCTATTTTTAACACATAGACCGTAGGAGCAAGTCTTCCACCTGCCAAGTCAACTCCCCTCTCCCTCAGAAAATATTTTTGGTACTGAACGAACAAAACGTTTGCAGTTTGTTGGCTAAAATGAACCTAAAGATGTAATGGTCCTTGTTTATAGATATAGTTTCACTGATATCTAGTCAACAAACTTACTCTACAGCCCGGCAATCATCGTAAGTAAAACTTAGAATGATTGCCTGGGATATCCTGAATCTGACATTCTCCTTTAGACTTTATTTCTTAAGAAAATTGTTTTTATGTTATAACCAAGTAGTAATTTTTATTTTATGATTCACAAACATACTAAAGTATATTGGGATGACAGAATTTTATGACATAAATTTTGTTAAATAAATACTATCCTGTTAGTTTTTCATATTCTTTGATACATTCAGCAATTTTTTACCAAGCTCCATACGCCTATGACCATATTCCAAGTTCTTATAATTTGCAAGGGGTACAACTTTCATACCATACATACCACCCCACCAAGCTGCAGCCAATATTCCTGTACTGTCACTATCTCCACCATGAAACATAGAACAAGAACACAATTGAAACAAGGAATCTTTTGCTATCATCGAAGCATCGTAAGCAATCATTGGTGCATCATGACCACTGGACCCACCCCAACCTGCATAACTCACAGGTTTATAAAAAGCATCACGTTCAGGTATGTTATATGTCAAGGTAAACTTTGGTTCACTGGTTCCATTCATTAATCCCCGTAGTTCAAGTTTTTATTGCCTTCTTTTTGATAAAAAACTGAAAAGTCCCACTCGAACCAACTTTTTGCAAGTACCTTTTTTAAAGCATATGATGTAAATTAAGATGCAGTAATAGCCCCTAGACAAACTAACGACAAAATCATTATCTTTAAAAGTTGTTCATTTCACATCTCTAACATTATGACGCAGATTATGATAGCTGTAGTGTAGTGACAAAAGGAAGATGAACAATGGCAAAAACAACTTTCATCTTTGCATATGTTTATGTAAACCGAGGAAAAGGTTTATGCAAACCGAGGCTATATTTCCTGGAACTTGAAAGCAGGTGAGTACAAATTTGAGACTGAATGTCAAAAATCTTTTCTCTTTTATAAAGTAACAAGTGCAAAACAGATATTTGTTGTTTTTCATGTAACATGTATTTATGATGGATTTGAAAATTCTCTTTACTTGATTGATTTAATTGATTGAGCTCAAATGGGTTACACTTTAACACAGTCACTGTTACCATTTTTTCCTTTAATTATGAGCTTTTTGTCGAGTCACCATTTTATTATGGTGACAGCCGGAAGGGCACATTGTATAAATACTTTGTATATATATACATACAGTACGTCCTGTGTCCCAAGTGCAGGCGTCACCATTTTGCTATGGTGATAGCCGGGAGGGCACATTATATATACAAAGTATATAACAATGTGCTCTCTCGGCTATCACCATAGCAAAATGGTGACTCCTGGACTTGGGACACAGGATGTACGGTAATAGTATATATATATATATACTATTACATAACTCAAAAGCAGTGTTGCCAGATTGTGAACAAAGCTCATAGATTTATGAAGTTTTGATTTTTATTTTGAATTTTTGTGAACAAAAAGAATTTTGTGAACATTTCATGAACTTTTACTAAAAATTAAAAACTTTTTGTGAACTTCTCAGTTATAAAAGACAAGGTTGTTTACAATGAGTATACACTGGTTTAGAGATTCAAGACATAGCTTAGTTCATTCTTCAATGTTGATGTGAAGAGAATTTTTTCGTCTGTGAATGCAATGAAAACTAAAGGAAGAAATAGGTTGCACACAAAGTCAGTCTGTCGTTTTCTAAAAGTTAGGCAGGGAGTAAAAGAGTCAGGAGGCTGTATCAAATATTCTTCTTCGACCAATGCTTTAAGTCGTATGACAACCGCCATTCTTTATGCTCAAGACTCTGACTCAAGCGATGAATCTGATTCGAACTAAATAATTGTTTTTCATTGTTATTTTTTGTTATTTTGTACAAATGTGCAATGTGCATCATTATAAATTTACACGTGATTTAGCTTATTTCATTCGTTTGGTGCAAATTAGGCAATTTTTGTCGATTTGTGAACATTGGTGGATAATATGTGACCTTTTGAACATGCCGACATGAACTTATTTAAAATTTATCTGGCAGCGTTGCCATCAAAAGTGTTACCTTCAAAGAACTGACAAACACATACAATTCTTGTTAATTGATCTTTAGTTTCTACAATAAATACATTAATTAATTTCTATTGGCTCTCCTCGGCCACCGTACACGTGTGTGGGACACGCAAGAGTGGATAGGATATTGGCCATGCATCAACTGTTGAAGCCCTCACCTCTCACCACTCAAACGTATATACGATTTTGCAGAAGTTTTAGCTTTCCAAAACGTTAAATATGAAAACCTAAAAATTTATCCGAAAACAATTTCCAACAACAATCTGCTTATCAAAAAACACATAACTGCCATCTACAAGGTATGTGTGTGTTGATATGTCTGTATATAAGGAAGATAAATTGCTTATTATAGGGGCGGGTCTAGAGTATGTCAAATCCGTCGCGCGACTGATGTTTGAAATTCAAAAATTACCTATTCATATTAATTAAAAATTCATTAATTATTCTTACTTTATTATCGCATTTACTTCATGATAAAAATCCATCTTTATTTATTATTGAAAACTAATGACTAATCAATGAATATCTCGTTGGTAACCAGATCAGTTGAATTTTAATTGACCTGGAATAACCGACTGATAAGCGGGCTGGCTTGGCTGGCTCGACTGATAAAGGAGTCTATGAACGCCAAAAGCGCTTATTTTATTGGTCAATGGTCAGATCAGTGGACAGTCTGGAATGGTCTGGACTGATAAGAGGTGTGGCCGGACGTATAAGGGAGTCCAATTGCTATCTTACAATTGGTTCATTTGAATTTTTGTTTTATTGTGATTGGTTTGACGGATTTCGACTGATAGCCAACTGAACTAACATAGTCAAGCTCACTGGCTGAATTGAATGTTTGATCGTTTCATGTTAATTTGTATAAGCATGATAGAAACTAAACTACAAGCAGATGGAATTTATGGAAATCTTTTACAAATTCATATATTGACATGAATGCTGCTGTCCAAACTGTGAATTTTTTCAAGAGGGTGAAAAATTTATGGATAAATTGTAAATGCTTGGCAAATACGATCTCGCGAGCGACATTTCAGTCATTGATGTTCAAAAGAAAGCCAACATTGTTTTGAGTTTTATCAGAAGAAATTTACATCCAAAATCGTAACTAAAGGACAAGTGAAGTGTATGCATGAATGTAATATATCAAAGTCAATTTATGCGAGTGTGTGATGCGATTTATGTCAATATGGCGTATGGTAAGCAGATTGATGCTTCTAAAATTGTTGTTGCCGAAGGACTTTTAGCTATGATTTCTTTAGTGCTTGGGGAATCGTGGCCGTTATATGGCAGCGAAATCCCACATTCCTGCAAATATATTTCAATGGACAAAAAATCTGTAGCCATAAGGCGCCATACTATTATTTAATTTATCATAAACAAATGTTTGGGGCTTTTCACTTTATGATCATTGATCATTCAATCATTGGACAGTTATACAACATATTGTTTAAGATTTGAGAAAACTAACTTTGATTACATGAGAAGCTGTTTACTATAACCTGCGATTTTGCGTCTTCTGATCCATGAAGCTTTTTATTTTGACAATTTGACTGGAATCGTATTAAACCTGAGTATTTCACATACATGAAATGTTGTCCCATTTCTCATATTGTCCCCTGTTCTAACTGAACACCTCATGTAGAGATGTAAAGGTGTGTTAATTTACGGCTTATACCAGATTGTTTGCCATAAATGCCAAAGGGCTATTGATGTATGAAAAGCATTTTCTATAAAGTAAAAATGTCTTCCTATGAAAGCAGATAAACCTTGAAATTTGGCAAAACAGCAAAGTATTTTTCATGATCACTAGGTAATTTTTCTGATGATCATTATAATTTCTAAACTAAATTATTTCAGATTTACATTTAAATGAGCTATGATCATATGAAAAGATATTTATCATAACCAGTAAGCATGACACATGAACCAATTTTAACATTCATGTAATTATATAATTAAAGACATGTTGGTTACAATCTGTTTGTAATTGCAAATACAATGCTACTAGTGATTGCTATATAGCACACTTGCATATACTTACAGAAGATAATAGTCTAGTGAAATGCCTAATAAACATTAATGGCATTAAGCTGTCCTTAATTGCAAATTTTCATTCTTATAATTTTTGCTTTATCTTTGGCAGAAAAAAATTTTGAGTTTTTTTTCAAAAGGTGAATGTGCTGGCACTGATGTGGAGATGGGTAAAGGGTTACAATAAACTTGCATGGTTTGAAGTCTGAGCTTTTCTATATCTATGAACTGTCACTTTTAGTACCAAATTTCTAACTTAACTCATTACATAGAGGTTTGAATGGGGGCCTATTTCTATGCCTGACAAGTTGGTAGAAATTTTTAAAGACTATATCTGTTTTTGAATAGCATTATTGTAAAATAAATTTTGCGTTCCTAGACATGCTAATGAGCAATATATTTGGCATGATAATGAGCCTAAATATTTGGCAAAACATTCAAGTATTGTTCACTTCATTTTTTTTTAAAAAAACGTAAGCAAAATGTGTTGTTTTCTACGCAAAAACTATGCCCACAAAATACATTTTGTATTGCTCTAAAACGCTGAAAATGGCATTTTCAAGGCTCTGAAATTCAAAATTTCTCAAGGGAGAATGCTTCAGACCCCAGGTGCGGAGCGCCTCCGACGTTTTATGACTGATGTTTGAAAAATCCTAGATCCGCCCCTGAGCGTAATATACAAAGTGTATATACAATGTGCCCTCCCGGCTATCACCATATTTAAATGGTGACACCTGCACTTGGGACACAGGACGTACGGTTACACATTGTATGGATTGTTTTGTAAAGTCACTACTTATATATATATACTATTACATAACTCAAAAGCGATGAGCAGCTAATTTTTTTGTGAAACCTTCAAAGAACTGACAAACACATACAATTCTTGTTCATTGATCCTTATTTTCTGCAATAAATACATTAATTAATTTGTATTGGCACTCTTTGGCCACCGTACATGTGTGTGGACACGCAAGTGTGGATAGGATATTGGCCATGTATCGACTTTTTGAAGCTCTCACCTCTCACCATACAAAAGTTCATATGATTTTGCTGAAGTCTTAGCTTTCCAGAACGTTAAATATGAAAACCTAAAAATTTATACAAACAACATTTCCAACAACAATCTGCTTATCAAAAAACAAGTAACTGCCATCTACAACAAGGTATGTGTGTGTATGGTAATGTACAGTAAATGGGAGAGTTAAATCAGAAAGGTATAAACCGATAAAAATGGTGTAAAATATGTTTAAGGTAGTCTTCAATTATAAGTGTCAGAAAAAGACAGGGTCATAAGAAGTTAATTGAAACATTGAATGGTTGGTTTTGTGAGAAGAAAACAAAAAGACAAAATTCGAAAACAAAAAACCCCGTTTTCGGGCCATGCTTCCCGATACCTTCTTATATGTGAGGCACTAGAATGCCGCATGTTAACGTTTCGGTAGGAGATTTCGCCCCTCCACGCTATCCTACTTGGGAGATGCCAGTAGCAATCTTCCGCCCATCAGACCCCGAGATCACCTGCGATAGGCTTTGCTCATGGTACGCAGGGAGAGTGCAGTCGCCATCGAAGTGTAGCCCCCTAAGCTACTGCATACTATATCGCACCCAGCTTCCACTGCTAGTTGACATCTACTATATGAAAATTTAGCTTTATATATATACATACCAAAATTTAAAGGCGTACGAAAGTTGTAGGATGATTTTTATCGTTACTGCGCGAGCCCAAATAATTTCTTTGATAATTTGCGATTAAGTGAGTTAATTGACACAAATGTAGTGCAAGTACATATAGTTGGTCGTTGTCATGACTATAAACAATTACTCGGGTGGACTGCGCATGCTTGAGCGCATGCGCAGACGATTTCTCTATTAAATTGTTACTAAGCATGCTATTTACTTCAAAATTGGTGCTAGTAGATGCAGTTGGTCGTTGCCATGACCATGAACTTGGGTAGCTGGTAAATCAGACTGCGCATGCGCAGATGATTTGTCTTAAAATTAGTGACTGAGTGAGCTAATTACTCCAAAACCTGTGCTAGTACCTCCAGTTGGTCGTCACCATGAGATTGGAGAGTTTGTGGAGTTGACAACGCATGCTCAGATTCTCAATTAATTTGTGACTGAGCGAACTCTGAAATTGGCGCTTTTAGATGCGCTGAGAGTGTTTTCAATCATATATTTTTGGCATGCTCTTTGTCTTCTTAAGCTTCTTTTGATAAATGCATGTGAAACTCATCAACACTTTGTTACGGCACTCGTAATATCCGTGACAACGTTAAAAATGGTTTTTATTTTTCTCTATAACTTTGTACCTGCATATTGCATGTCATATCCAAGCTTTCCTTTGATTTGACGGACAATGGTTTTTATTCACTCTTACACCTTCTGCCTTTATAATTAGTCGATGTATATTTCTAAAATAATATTTACAAATGCCCCAAGAGAATCTTTTTATTTTATTGGCAATCTTCTACGAATACAATACTATGTCCGACTATTTGATTGCACAAATTTTGTGATTTGATTACGTTTTTTTGACACGTGTGTTTACCATCGGAAAGATGGATTGCTTAAATGTACCTAGCTGTTTAGACTAATGGGATCCATAGTTATCCTGTAATGTATACCCCTGTGAAACACCAATGACCATACGTAGTGTGTCTTCTATGACCTCTATTCTTGTTCTCCACTTCATCATCTATTCATATTTGTTCCTTTTTAAGTCTCAGCTCAACACAACTCTTGTCTGAAGTTCCTAAAACCTTGATCTGCCGAAGAAAGATCTCTGGTGGTAACATGTTAGTTATGGCTAGTGGTTGGTCATCGTCATTTGAGCCTTGTGACACCAGTTCAGTAGACGTTAATTGTCCTGAAGACGTGGAGGAGGTTGCTAGTAAATCGTCGCCTAAACCAGAAGTTAGTTTTCATGGTATGCTAACGGATTACGCAAACGTTGTTAGCAAGAAATTCTCATCAAATGGTTATGGTCTCGTTCCATCGTCTTCTGAGAAGGTTTCATGTTCATTTTTTGTCATAAATGTGTGAATTATACGAAAGCTTGCTGAACGTTTTTTAAGCTTGTACATTCATTTTAAATTCATATAGAGAAGAAAACTAACGGGAAAACGAAATAACCAATGACGAGGGTATATAATCTGCCACCAAAACGAGCGTCAATATCCAAAAAAGATGCAGCAGAGGCTCTTCTTTGCTTGAGCGAAAGGGAACACTTTAAAAGAGGCGCAGCTGACGGCCTCCTATCCTTATGTGAAAATAGTACAACATCCCGTGATATGCAAGAGGACCAAGACGAACTTCTTGTTTTAAAGAAAAAAATGCTGCTGTTCAAACCAACCTAACTCATGAACATCTTAAAACTTATGCGACTGAGTCATTGGTTAACACCAGCAGTATAAAGAAATGCATGTTTTTAGAAAATGTGGTTAATGATTTTACTTGCCCTTCAACATATCCGTTTAATTTCACCTCCAATTATGCATAAAGGTAATGTTCGCACTGGTGCAACAACAATAACAAGGAGAGTGGCTACAAAGACGATTCACATTGAAAGAATTATTCAACGACTGAAGTCATTTGGTATATTACAAGGTGTAATCCTATTAACAATGAAACCATATATTGATTCTGTTGTGTCTATATGTGCAGCATTGGTCAATTTGCAACCACAGATTATTGCATCACCTTAAAAACATTGTATATAGAAGTTTTATATTCCTTTGTGTAAGAGATAAATTTAGAACAATGCAGAGTAAACAATGTGTGCAAAGTTCTGTGCCATTTATTTCTTTCCATTGTGGCATCCTTGTTACTGAACCATTTATGTTCCATGACAATGAAATCATTGGGACATTTCTCATATTTTTCAATATCCTAAAAAATGTTGTGATATTGAAAAAGTAAGCACTCTTCCCTATTAAATGCACTGCTTAAAAAACATTCTTTCATATGACTCTTCCCTATGTTATTGCATTGAGTATATCTTTCCTATTATTAAGCTCTAACCTAAAGAAACATGTAGTTTCCATAATTACCTTCAAAAAGTATTTAATAAAAAGTGATACAAAAACAGCACAGAGATTTGAAGAGATTTCCTGCTTTCATTGTAGGCTTAACCTTGCCTAAATAAACATGGACCCCAGCATCTTGCCTGTATGCTGTTAGCAAAGACTCAACATATCCATTGTAAAACAAACGATAGTTCACGAACTACTTATAGGCTGCAAGACACTGCTTGTCGTATTCTGATGAATGATATATAAGATGACTAAATATGTCAAACAAGCCGAACGGGGGTGAATTTTTAAAATCATTTGAAACATTAATCGTAAATGGATCCGGCAGCTCAACGTCACGGATGGTCAAACGACAACTTAAATTAAATTGCTGCTCGGCTTTACTGACTTGCGGGATCAATGGAATGTTCATTTTTTCCACTACACATGCAATGGCTACAAGTCCCGGCTTCAGATAACTACTTAAGGTTATACCTCTACTCTGCAGGTAACTTTTTAATTCTGGCAGTTACATAGCTTTGAATTTCTCTTCACACAAACTTTCTTCCATTTAAGCGCGTATATTTTGAAATAAAGAAATGTTAAAATTTATTTTGCAAGAGATCGAAACATATTTCTATTTCATGTAGCAAATTAGTCGTTGTTATGACTTCCGCCATGTTTGTCCGAGTTTTTCACTTAGCGAGCACGTGTTTTTATTCAAATAAAACCGCCAAAGTGGTGTATTGAAACCAGGAATCTTTTGCCATCATCAAAGCATCATAAGCAATGATTGGTGCATCATAACCACAGGACCCACCCAAACCTGCATAACTCACAGATTTATAAAAAGCATCACGTTCAGGTATGTTATATGTCACTATAAACTTTGCTTCACTGGTTCCATTCATTAATTCCCGTAGTTCAAGATATGACTCCCAACTATTTTTAAAGTAGCCCCAAGATTTCTTGTTTTCTTCTACATCATGACCAACCTTCTCAATGTATTCCCAAACTTTGGGTAAAACACCTAAAAGTCCTGCACCCCAACTTTTTGGAGGTATCTTCTGTATAGCATACGCTGTAAGTAAAGCTGCAGTAACAGCCCCAAGATAACCTATAATTAAAATCACTATCTTTAAAGATTGCTAATTTCAGGTCACTTACATTATGATGACCCTAATTACATAATAGCGGCATTTTGACATGGATCATGGATTCAATGGCTGTAGTAGTGAAGATATAAAAGAAAAACAGAAATGGCAATACAAATAGCTTTTAGAAGACAGAAATTTAGAAATGTGGAAAAGCGATAAAAAGGATGGATCAAAGATATGGTGATTAAAAGTGAGAATGTTAGAAGGATGGAGGCATTTGAGACGTGGTTCTGGAAAATGATGAATTGTATAGACTTATGCAAACCTAAAGTCAACCATCTTTTATTTCATATATAAATTGATATTAGACAAAAGGATATGAAACATTCATGGTAATGGCTTGTTCAAGTAAGTAATCGAGGAAGAGTTGAAGGTAAAACATCTAAGAAAAGCAAAAGGATTGAAAAGCTAAATTACTATGAGGTTTGTTAAAATGAAAAGCAATGCAGATGACAGGAAAACCTAGCAAACTTTATACAAAACAACACTTGTTGATAGACAGAACTCTAGACATTAGTGCTTTGATAAATGATACATGATCTGAAATCCTTGCTTTATTATGAAAGGTAAATACCTGTGGGGTGATTATGAGTCGTCCTTCCACTTTCAACAGCAATTTCAATTAACATTTCAATTTGATCTTCACAAGGAAACATCAAACCTATACACATGGATCTCATAGCTGCACCACATCCGCCAACACGTTCATTAAATGGTATAATGTAACCTTTTTCCTCAAGAGGTCGTAATATGAAACATGCCTTTGTTGTGGTCTGACCAGGAGCTCTTTCCCACATATCCTCAGCACATGTTTTCTTGTACTTTGTAGACATAATGAACAATATCTCTTCCGTTGTTGCCCATTCAGAAACCAACGCTTCTGCTGTAGCAATGTGTAGTACAGTGTCGTCACTAACCCTCCATCCTTTAATGTCAATTTTATCAAGTCGTCCGAGTTTTTCTAGTTCTTCATGAATTTGAGTACCGCTGTAACAGAATTCCCACAAACCATTCTTATAACCTAGAGCATCCCCCCCTCCACTGACAACCATAACTGCTTCGTATTTCTCGGATAATTGGACCGTATTTTTAAGAGCCATTTTCAATATGTTTACTTCACCGTAGTTTAATGAATTTTTTTGAAACACGGGGAAAGTACTAAGCTTCCCTTAACTTAGTCAACAAATAAAAGCGTAAAATCTTTTCTTTGCTTTCTTTCAATATTTTATCAAACTATTCTGTTTAGATTTAGACGAGAGCGTTGGGAGACTGGGGCTGTTATTTTGTAATCCTTAATCTTTACCCGATTCTATGATTCTCAATCTGATTAACATGTTGCTTCTTGCAAAGATTCTTTAAAATTTAAAAGTTCCTTCCTTATATCATGGATTATTTTACACGGATTTAATCCAAACTTTACAATTTGATTGCACATACAACAATTTGTACAAACTTCACAAAATTTCAGCTCTTGGCAAATCCTTAGGTTTTATAATTTTATAATTTATCCCATTGTCATAAATATGTCACTAAAATTTAATTTTTTTACTGCATTAAGATTATTTCTCCCTTCACCCATAATATACATAACAAAATCACAACAGAACATTGAATTATGCATCAAAATTTATTGATTGATTTACAATGTCTCATAAGAATTATATATTCCACATGACAGCTTTCACATGAAGAGAGACCTAAATGAACATAAAAATTAAACTTAAAATCATAAACAACTGGACAAAGGGGGTAAGTATGAGCGATAATGAAGAGAGAAAGAATCTGACAAAATATGACCTAATTTGGGCATGCAAGGGGGGTGGGGGTCAGAGAAATGGAATCTATGAACTTAAGAAAATGAAGACACGGGATTGTTTAATGTACCAATAGATAAGAGAGTGTAGATGGCTCACTATTCACACTGTGATTGACAGAAGTTTCTCACCCCAGTCTTAATCCTCATCTTCATCTTCACCACCAGATCCACCTTGACCTCCTTTCTTCATGTTCTTACGTTTTACACGACCAGGTTGACCACCACCATATGGTGATTTAGAACTAAAATCAATGTGTTTCTGCGAATCCAAACGTACTATATAGGAAGGCACGTTGACTAACTGTTCACGAACCCTGAAATCAAAGATGGGCACGGTTGGCCAAAAACGCTTTCAGCTCGTCAGAACAGCAAGAATTTCTCCACCTTTTACAGCAAGTAGCAAGATCAACACATCAAAATCAGTTCGACGATGCATTGTAAGCACTTCGAAGCTCATCAGTTTATGATAAAGCCCATATCCAAAGCTACGTTGGAAACACATGGATGACTTGCAAAGAACGGTGGGCTCAAATTTTCAGAAAACAACAAGCTGTTAAGATAGTGAACACCAACAACGGCGTCGAATCGCAAAACAGGCACTTTAAGTAAAATTATCTTCCAAGAGCTATTGACAAATCAATATATGGTGTAGTTACAATGATGATGGAGTCATTTCTTCCAGACTCTTATCAGCACAACAAAGACACCAACTTCAAACAAAGCAGCCAATACAGAAAGTGCAACAAGAATGCTCCATACTATTTGCATAATCGCCCAAACCACTTTATCAAGCACTTTATGAAAAGTTCATTGCATCGCGAAAATTTCGGGATAATGATGTTGATTGCATCGACAATAATAAGCTTCTGGGATCATTTTAGATGCAAACCTAAGTTTTTCAAATCATATTGATAAGCTATGTTCCAAATTAGCTAAACGAATTGGCCTTCTTAAAAAGTTAAGGTATTATCTACCATTGGATAAACGCATTGCGTTTTATAATGCCACTATTAAATCTGCTATGATGTTTGGTAGCTGTGTTTGGTCAAATACAACAAAAGATAACTTGGATCAAATTACAAAATTACGAAAGAGAGCAGCTCGCGTAATTCTAAATGCCTCAACACGCGATAGGAGTATTCCACTCTTTTCCAAATTGGGCTGGATACCTTTTAGTAAGCAAGTGGAAATTAGAAAGGCCATGATTTGTCATAAACAATTCTATGGTAACTGTCCATCTTGTATTATTGATATTCTACCAACACATGCCAGTCGCCACAATAGAAATACTCGTTATAAAGACTTTACTATTTGTTTACCCAAAATAAAGAGACAAAATGATGGTGGGAGATCTTTTGCTGCTACTGAAAGTCGATTTTGGAACAGTTTACCTCTTACTATGCGTAAGCTTTCATCAGCTACACTTTTTAAAAAGAAACTTTATGATAAAGCTAATTCAGATATGCTCACAGAATAATTTATTGTTTAGTTTTTTTAGTAATATAGACTTATGTAATTCTGGTTTTTAAATTGTAATTGATCTCTTAGTTTGTTAGTTTGAGGGCCACAAGTTTTTCACACTTGTTGTATCACGTGTTACCCTCTTTTAATAAAGTTTCATCATCATCATCATCATGGGTACAGATAGCAAATTTCTCTTCAGCTCAGGCAGATAGAGTACGTAGAATATTCATATATATTGGATATGATGTATAAAGTTGCTTTGAAATTTATAATTTTTAGCGAATTATCATATGCATAATACATTCATGAATTTTTCCTCCTGCCAAATATCGTTCTGGAGACGCACTGCAACTGTGATTTGTTGTTAAAGCAATTTTACATTGAATCATTTGTTCTTAATGTCATGATATTGAATAGTAACTCATGTTTGCAAAAAGAAATAATGAATGAACGTTTACCTAAATGTTACAACATTTAGTTTCTCTGAAATCTAATAAATTTCGCAGCCAAAATGACAACACTGTAATGGGTACATAAGTAAGATTTAAGTCACAAAATAGCTAAAAAGTTTGTGAACTTCTTCCAAGGTGACTTAGAATTTGTCGATAGTTTTTCTGTACGTTTCATAATGGCATCGAACAAACTGACAAATCATCTAAATATAGAACTTACCTATTTGAGGAATATGTCTTACGAAAGCACAAGCAATATTGCCGAAATTTCTAAATTGTCAACGATGGTATTGTCGAAACAGCGAATTTATGTAGATGGTTGTTTATCGGACAATATTTCGAGCTCTTACCGATGGTTTTTACATACATGCACCTATAAGATCCTCGCTATATTTAGTCAATATATAAATGATTATTTGCTTTTCGATATATCTCTATTGTTCTCATAAAAATCTCAATGGTTTTTATTGATGCTACTGAGTTTTGGTTTGATTTTTCAATGTGACATTGGTCATTAATATGCAGTTTTCACAGATTGTGGATAAGACTTGCAATGAACGAGAGCCGTAATTGTCTTGCTCAAACCTTTGCGACTCCCTGCGATATTTTTAGCAGTTGAGAAACCTCATGGCAAAGAGAATGCCCTTAAATCTTCTCCTAAGGTAGAGGATTGCAAGATTCAATGAATACTTGGACAAGATTAAAGTCTACTTTCTAAATTCATTATCGTGTCATTAATCTTACCATACCATAACATGTTTCGTTACTTTGCATAACGACATTAAAACGCAAAATATCTGACAATTCTTATGAATTTTCTTTATTTAAATGCATTGAAGGATTAGTTATTGTCTTTATGAAAGGTTACAATTTCCTAAAGGGGCCAGTCAAACAAAAAATTTAGTCATGACGGCAATTAAAGAAATATTAACATATTTAAATTCGTGTGTTTTAACTTCAACTTCAACGGAAAATTAGTCTCTTTCACTTTGTAGAAAGAAAGGTAAATCCTGTTTTTTTACTGAGGAAGTAAGTATGACTTACTTAGAATAATAAACTAGTCTTAGTATTGTCCTCGAATTCCAAATATGAAAGCTTTCACTGTAAAATGCTTTGATCACGATGTTAAGCCTTTGATCGTTTGAAATTTCTTGTTGCATCGTTTAAACTCAACTGACTAAAGCTATTCGTGCAATGTAGGTAAATGTTTTACCATTTGGATAGTCTAGCAGAAAACATATTACAATTTTCTTATTCTCAATATATCTGATTAAGAATTTAAAAACGCAAACTATCGTCTTATGCAGAGTTATTCATCATGAAATCTCATGCATGTGTTTCGTATTTTCTTATGTTGTAGATCCCACATGGATGGAGTTGTGAAAGTCCCTTTATCACCTGTGTCACTCACTTGTATTACTCTTACTAGTTTGTCATTACTTATGTGACATGGTGATTCATGGCCAAGAATGTTTATCTGTAGTTTGGATTTTTGTTAATGTCAGTTGTTTGTTCATATAATGATGATGGGCCCCATTGTTATATGAACCCACTAAAGGTGGTCAACTGTTACTCACAGAAGATCAAATCTGCACTAAGCATTCTTTGAGTGATAATATAAGTGGAGTATTCAAGTGGTGCCTTTTCCTTTGCTCGAAGTTACCATAAGAGTGCATTGTAAATTGTATTCCATCGAAATGGCGGTTCATGATATAGGAGCTACTTTATTGGTTAATGATGATGGTTACTTCGTGTATGAAATGGTATGAACATATTGAATGGACATCGCATAACGGCATATGTACGTATGAACATTAACATTGAAGTGATTGGACTATTCTACAAAGATGGAAAACAAGCGAATGGAAAAACACGATCCATGTCTTGTGGTTTGTAAGTTGAGTAGATAAGTGCTGTATGAGTAACTGCATGAGATAGTTAAAAAAGGACCCTGATGATCTATTTTTATAATTTGAACCTTACTTGTGAAAAACACCCAAATTAGGAAAAATGTCAATAAAAGATGTCACTTGCTTTTAGAAAATAGCTGGCTTTCACTTGCTACTTTTTTTAATTACATCAAACGTTTGTAAAGAAAATTGCAATGCTGCAAGTAGGGTTCATTGAATTCTAAATTAAAAATGTTACAACAAATTTCCATGATATACACGTAATAACTGCGCAGTGAAAAAAAAGGAAGAGACCTACAAATTCACCTGAATCAGACTGACCACGAAAACGTTTCGAAATCAGGTATTTAAGTTTTGTTCTATTCAATATATTTGAGTTTTGATTTCGATCACTTATTTTGCTGACCAATATATTTTGCTTCAATATATTTGAGTTTTGCTTTCATTTTTCATCTATTTAGTAAATTTCTGTTAGCACTCTGCACTCTATCATTTTTTGATCTCTACTAAAATTTTCGTTTCTTTTGTTCCAATACAAAATATTCACTGTGTTTAATATGGTAGTCAGCCCACTTTTTTGTCGCTCTGTAAATTCAAATTTTTTATATGAACGACGTACAATCCGACTACGCTGCATGTTAAAGTAGATCATCGGGATCATTGAAAACAACTAAAATATGAAACATCTTAAAATTACAAAACTGTCAGGAAATTTTCAAAATTTTCGATCTTTTCTTTTATTGGAGGGTTTTTTACCGGATCCGCCGGTTTTCCCTTCCATTTCGTTTTGTTTTGAAAAAAAAACGTGTTCACATTTGGGGCCAAGCGAAACCATTTGTCATTATATTATTTATCGTAGTTATCATGAATATTTACGTTTCTTTTTCATTTCTTAGCGTTTGGGTTTATCTCCTAAAACGCTGCAATTTAACAAAATAGATACGCTATGCGTACTTATTGGTACCCTGCAATTATACAGCTACTGAATGAAGGAGATTTAATCAATATAGTTAAAATAAAATTATATATTTAATATTATTTACGTCAAACTTGCTCAAGATTTGAAAATGTTCTTTACTTATATGACCTGGCACAAGCTAAATTTCCAAAGACTTCCTTAGTTCTTACCTTGAACATGACTCATGTTTTAACCTTATTTGCGTGAACATAATTTTCACTTTGAAGAAAAATGGCTATTGCGTGCAAAAATTTTTCTGTCATATAAAGCATTGGAAGGTCAACTAACTATTTTTACCCAAGGTTTATGCATATCTTGTACGCTGATGACTTTGGAGACGTTTTCCAAACTGTTTAGTTTTTTATACACCCTGTAGACTATATGGCAAAGCAATATAGCTTCACAAATAAGCGCCGAGAACTTTTAAAATATCGTTTGGTCTAATCACAGTACCTATATTAGCAAACGGATTGAGGGCAAAGGCCCCCACCCTCCAAGTCAACCCCACCCCTCAAATGATCAATGTCCTAACTAAATCAAACATTTACAGCCTGCTGCACATCATTTCCTTATTCGTATTCTCTAAATAGAAAATACTAATGACTGTAGTAACCCTACAGTGCATATACGAATATCTTACAAACACATAAAATCTAAGACGTTTATAACACATTATTGTGAAGTAAACTGATTCATATTGCACACAAATTTAAAAAGAAAATAACTCTTACAAACAAATCAAAAAAACTTAATATTGCACTCAAAATTAATAACGAAAACATTTACTCTATCACTTAAAATAAAACGACATACGTTTTTCCCCATGTTCCAAAACCAAACAAGTCTTTTTTTTGTGTATTTGTGGTTCTACCACATTTAAGTTTCTCCTAGTCTACCTTCGCTTTCTTTCAACTTGAAACGTCGACTGCAGAAGGTGGTTGAAGTGCGTTTGCAATCTGGCATTCTAACAAGTCCAACTCAGTAAATTCACTCATGTCTTTAAGTACACAGATTAATATAAACGACGTTAAAACTACTGCATAAGGACATTAATCTTTTCATTTTTGAATTTTAATTACTTGTCTTACACTGAAACAATCATTACTAAGTGATAATCACTTAATTGAAAACAATGCATCTTAGGCACCGTCCACACGTATCCGGACTCGTTCGTATCCGCAATTATTTTTTTGAGGTTAAGCTTATCGTCCACACGTATCCAGCAAAAACGCCAGTGCTTTTTTTAAAGAATTTTCACTTGGTGGGCAAAACAGGTAAAACGGCAAAACAAAAAATGTGGCCTTGAGGTTTGGCAAATGCCCAAATTCTAAAGAGAAATTTTGTAAAACTTTATTTTTTAACTTCAGCTTTGCTTCTGTATATCCGTAGATTTAGGAAGCACAAAAAATTAACTTGTCAACTTTTGAAACTTAAATTTGCTTTTATTACTTTTATCAGAAACATTCTTTCTCTTCTCTCCAATTTGTATAGTCTCAATAATATGGCTTTACATATTCATAGACATTGCCAAATTTTGCAGGACATATTTAATAAACAATCCCACACAATATTCGTAAAACCATGATTTGCCATAAAAGCGTCGTGAAAAAATATCATTATCAACTTATCAATAAACCGTCGGGCGAAAACGTTAGGCTAAAATTTTATTGGAGCACTACATGACTTAGAAATGCTATGGAATTTATCGAGTAAACTCAAAATAGATTACTTTTGGTTGCATTCGTGTATTTCTGTTTGTGTTGTGCTTCTGCGCATGCATAAAATAATCATTTATAATGTTTGTTTGTTACGTTTAAATTAAAGATAACGATTAAGGAAGACAGTTGTCGCCTTAATATTCCCCTAATCTTTGCTTATGTGTCTGCCAAAATGCTAGGATCTTCCTGCAATTTTTCAAGGGTTGCATGTAGTTCAGACGATTTCTCGAAGATGACGTCAGCAGCCTTTACTCTTGTTGTCCATCTCGTTGTAGAAAGACTTTGGAGTCGTAGAACTTTGTAATCGTTTGTTCCTGTTTCATTTCTAAAATCTGCCTGTATTTCTTCGAACAATAAAATACGTTTTGGATGGGCACCTACGATTGCATAGAGGGATTGGCATAAATCCAGTGATGTAGACAATAAATTAGATTGCATAGCTGCATCCTGTATAAAAAGTTCAATGCAGTGACTGAAACAATGAATATAAATTGCGTTTGGTGCAATATCTTCCTTGAGCTTTCTTGCCAGGGATTTCATTGCTGAAGCCCCATCAAAGCCCATAGCTGCCATTTTGTGACCTTCCATGCCACATCTGAGAAGGATATCTTTGGTGTAGTGCAGTAATGCATCAGATGAAAGTTCTTGCAAACATTCATAAATTCCAACAAAACCTTCCGATACTTCGTAATTATCATCACAGGTCCTTACGGAGAAAGACAACTGTTCCTTTTTTAGATACGTCTGATGATTCGTCAGCTAGAATTGAAAATGATTCTCTCACTAGAATTTTATCAATCAAATGTCTTTAATGCAATGTCTAATCTAAATGAGCATCTAATAAAATCATCTGTTTCTGCTCGTCCAGGATGTCGTGTGTAGTTACGTATCGGTTCTCGTCAAGTAAAAGTTTTAGTGCCTTGTCGTTAAAAGCTTTATCAAGATTCAAATGATGAATATTAGATTCAAAATCCGTTTTACCTCTTATCGCTATACCTTGGCGTAAGAGGGTTTTTAATGTTTGAAATTAACCCTTTCCTCCTTAACTGCTGCGTTTCAAGAGAAAACGAACTGCAGGCTATACTAATAGACAATTGCCCTTTGTCTGATGTGGCATAAGCTTCTTTATGAGCGTAATTGTTTTCATGTTCGTTGAATTTCTCACACCTTTTTTACAGTTATCAAATCCAACTTCATAACAGTGGCGTGCGGTCATGCAAGCGTAGGCAAGCGCCGCTTGCCTAAGCATTTTACCGAACAAAAATTTTTTGGATCAATCTCTGAGCAAAATCAGTTTAAATTTTTCTGTTCTAAACAATGTCAATGTAATCTTTTGTCTAAATTGTCTTTACAGTTGAAATGCTTGCTATTTATACGCGATTTACTGTCGTGATTTTCGGTTTCACTTTGCTACACTTGTAAGATGAGTCAAGTGTATTAAATTAAGTGGATTAAATTAATTATTTATTAACCAAGGCAAGCGCGCTTGCCTTCGGAGCTCAATTTGACATTTGCGCATGCGTTAATCTAGATTTGGAGGCTTCTTATTCGAGGAATATCGAGAAAAGGCAAGCGGCGCTTCTAAGGGCGCCGCTTGATAGCGATTGGTCAACAGTCTTGTACGCTCGCAATTTTAAACACATATCAGCGCACGAATAATATTCGTATATTCAACACATTGGACATCCGAATTATTCACGCCGTTAATGTTATCGTTTATTAAAAGATGACTGAGAGCGAAAGGTAATGTTCTGATTTCTAATTCAAAGTAGTAGTAGATTTCTAATTTATGTATGTAGAAGATATTATCTGTAGCATGTTATACTTTAGCGTTATATAAGTCTTGCGTATGAGCTCTGAACGTGATTTCAATGTACTAGAACGCTATTAAATTTTGTGATTATTTTATTCACTAGCAAAGAAGTTATTTACAACAGTCGTGAGTATTCTATATGTTAGAATTTATTTACAGGCTTTTTATATATTTTGATAAACAAGGTGCAGTTATTACACAGCGGATAATGTACTTGAAATTTGAGTAGTTTTACGTAATTATAAAGTTAAGTGCGTAAGTTTAAGTAGCGCGTTTTTTCAATACTGTTTCAGTCATGACAGATACATTTTTTCGACAAAGTACTCCTAGAAATCGCGGGAAATGCGCTCCAGTATCCTTCAAAATCCAAAAATTTTCTGGGGGAGCATGCCCCCAGAACCCCTAGATAGCTTCGCGGCATGCCGCGAACCTCACCCCGCGCTGCCTATTAAATTCGGTCACCGCACGCCACTGCTTCATAACTGCCAAACACTCCCTTTATCTTAGAGTGAGTAGAACAAATTTCGCAAAAAAGCCTTATTTTTTTCTCGATTGTACACTAGCCACTCATAATTTCGTAACCACTGACCTTGGAAATATCGACCATGCGTCACACTACTTTCCTTGTCTTCACTTGTAAAGTCTTTCTCATGTTTTACCCATGTCGTTTTCACGCATATCTTTTCTGATTCACCAATCAGACTTTTCGGTTTGGATCATTTTCGTGACTCACAGTCTGAGGCTTTTTCAGTATTGACAGTTATTACAGTGTCAATTCCGCTTGTTGAAGCAGAATCAAAATCATGGCCTGTGTTTCCTTTGGCAAACAGCGATGTTATTTTAGATTGACCCGGTATAGCAGCTGCTTTCGCTAATGCTTTTGCTGAATCTTTTTTGTATCTTTCTGCTCTTGGCATTGCGAAAAAGCGATAAGATGCAAAAAGTATCCCTTTCAAAGTCATCAGTGTTTAGGTGACTGAGCCATTTATGCCAGCAGATGTTTACCATTAAAAATATCTTTACTATACGTCATGTTCCTGGCACTTTTGGGATTTAATAATAATGAAAGGAATTTGCAAAGGTATTGTGATTTTTAGTTGTTTACATTTAAAAAATGACGTTTCACGGCTGTCGAGGAATCCGTTACTCAGCTGGTTCACTAACACTCTTCGTTTTGAACCTTTTATTTTACAAGCCAAACAATCTACAAGTACATCACTGGAGTATTCTTACGCTATCTATTAGAGTTAGTTATTTAGATGTTATTTATACTATCGGTAATTACATAAGTCGAGCTTTCCTTTACGTATTTAGCACTACTCACTCTTTCATTGCGTTTCAAGTTCTCACGCGTTGCAACAAAAAAGAAGAACTAACTGAACAAACAAAGAACTTACAAAACGTACTTAAAACAAAGAAATGTTAAAAGAAAACTAACATAGTTACGACAATTTTATTGCTAAGCTAAAAAGAATGCAATATCCCAAAACGGTTAAGTAGTCTTTATCTTGGATCAAAAACAATAAATATTCAACCTGTAGGGCACTTTTGCCTCCCTGCCCATCTCCAGAAAAGGCAAGGGGGCCGTTGCTCCCCTTGCCCCCCCAGTTCCGGCGTCCCTGTTAATAGACATGTACTGGTCTAATGTCTTCGCCTGATTTCATAACGACAATTTTGCTTCTACTTTAGATCCGCATTTGAAACAAAACCTGTCCGTAAAACTTAGTTTATTTCCACAAGAAGGGCAAAATGCCGCTCTTTTTCCCACATTTTGGTTACGGAAATGACATGTCTTAAAAGTTTAGTGATTAATACTTCATGCTGGACAACAATTAGGGGTCTAAATTCTGATTAGAAAATATTTGCGGATTTGAAAAATCTTTTCGGATTTTCAAAGTATTTTCCGATTTAGAAATATGTTTTTAGATTTTCGATATAATTACAGACTGGAAATATATTTTTGGATTTAAAAAACATTTTGCGATTAAAAATATATTTTCATGGTGGCCCTTCACGGCTTCCGTACAAAATACCTAGAAAACGGTAATAAAATTCAACAGAAACAATAAAAATCATAAGGCCGTATCTTTGCTTTACATAACAATAAACTTTTAATGTTTATAATTAAGTTGCACAAAATTCTTTGCCACCAGAGGCGTAACTAGAACGTTAATTGGGGGGGGTATATTTATATATTCAGTTTTGCCCTAATGATTTCTTTGGAAATTTAAATTACTTTCAAAAGAAATTAGTAGAGCACAACGAAATATATCAATATGCACCCCCCCAATTAACGTTCTAGTTACGCCTCTGTTTGCCACGTATCAACTCAAACGGCGCAAACATTTGACGCTTAACTTTTCGGAACGTTAAATTTATCTGAAAGGTTGAATGTTCAAAGTTCGAACTGTCGACAAGTAAAAGTTTTGTAAGACAAAACATAAAGAATCATCATGTGCGATTACGACGTGTAAATGTGCCCATGGAAACTTATAATTCTGTAATTGTACATTAATCAAAGTCAAACAAAGTTACAATTCCAAACAACAACAATTTGCTTACCAAAAACGAATCATTGCGATCTTAAACAAGGTATGTTTACGTTGATGTGTTCGTTTAAAGGAAGTTAAAATGATTGTTATAGTAACTATTAGTCGTTGGTCCACAAGGTCTGTTTGTAAAATATGTGTTATTTCATTTTTCACCTAATGGCTTGTGTTATTATTGAAGGAAATTTATGACTCAATTTTTACTTTAAAATTGCAAATGGACTCGTGCATGTCATCATTTAAGCCGTTTTAGAAGTAGAAATATTGATCAGAAAGTGCGTTTATCTTTGTCATAAACTAGTATCGCTTGTTCAATTCTGTTGGTCCACATTTTAAATGCGGCCAAAGAATTTTGGTAAGCTTTTGTAAGCTTGCTGCAATTGTCTTTCGTCGATGCTAAGCTGTTGACTCTAAGGTTGATATATAAAAATTCAAGCATACATGCTCGTCATTTGGCCATTTTCTACATTAGACAATTTTGTATCTCTTCTTTCATATTATACTCACTCCGGAAATCTTGGCATGTCTATTGCACATGATTTCTAACAATCTCTAACCTTTGTTAAAAAAAACTAGACATTAGTGTAGCAATTTTCTTCTTTGCACGTTAGCACAAAGCAGTTATGCGTCTGCCAATTCGTTTTCGGGACTGTATACTATCCTACTGTACGCGCAGTCGACACACAATTCTCAATTTTAATCAATATAACTATTCCACAAACAGATAATTTTAAACATTTCGAGCTTTTACATTCACACCCAGCAACAGAAGAACCCTGACTTTCAAAGTATTAACATAAGTTCCTATCAAATAACAATTATCAATTACTTATTTACCTAAGTTCCGACACACTCCCCCCTTTGAGCCTTTAGGATCAAACAAAACTTTTGTTCGCCAACTTGCATCCACAGTTGCCACCCTTCTGGGTCTCCTATGACTTTCTACGCTGCTACCCTTTTCTGAAACTTCTCCTCTCTTACTACTTTCTTGTTTCTCTATTTCTACACATCTGTCTTTACTTACCTTTGCATCCATCTCTAGTGGATGGAGTTTCTGAAGAGGCCTGTTTATATACAGTGGCCTTACCTTCCTAACAACTTTGACTTCTGCTCCTCTTTCTATATTATCTTTTCCCTTGATCAATCTCTCGATTCTCGCTGCTATTTTCCAAAATCCTCTTTTCAAACTTTCCTCAAACACAAGAACTATATCACCTAATTATTGTTAAGTATTCATTCCTCCACATGGACCAAATATGTTTTCTCAATCTCGGTAAATACCAAAACCTACACTTGACTCTCTCTAAATCTTCCATCCACCTCTCCCAACGTGTTTTCTTGTAACCTTCCAGCTCATTATCCCATTCAGAATTATGGTCACCATTTGTAAACTGATATGTATGTGGTCGTGTTCTTTATATTAAATTTCTCATCTTTTGTTAGGTATGCGACATGTAAAGAACTAAAGCAAGCTTAAATTAGATGACGATTTCGTCAGATATGATGTCTTACTTCTACAACAAAGGTAATTTTACAAAAGTTAAGCGAGATTTATATCCACATTACCGACCTAATAACTTAGCTGAAGAAACATCTAGATAAAGTATGAATAAACATGCATGAGAAATCATATCTAAGTTAATATACCAACTTTTTAACTATTGACCATAAGCTGCATGGTAGGGAAAACAGTAAAACCTGTTCAAAAGTATGGGGAGAAAGAATAGCATGATTGTATTTTCTACATGTAAGATGCTGAATTTTCTTTACTTACATGTGCATCCATCTCTAGTGGATACAGTTTCTGAAGAGGCCTGCTTATGTGCAGTGGCTTTCCCTTGCTAACAACTTTGACTTCTGCTCCTCTTTCTATATTATCTTTTCCCTTGATCAATCTCTCGATTCTCGCTGCTATTTTCCAAAATCCTCTTTTCAAACTTTCCTCAAACACAAGAACTATATCACCTAATTATTGTTAAGTATTCATTCCTCCACATGGACCAAATATGTTTTCTCAATCTCGGTAAATACCAAAACCTACACTTGACTCTCTCTAAATCTTCCAACCACCTCTCCCAACGTGTTTTCTTGTAACCTTCCAGCTCATTATCCCATTCAGAATTATGGTCACCATTTGTAAACTGATATGTATGTGGTCGTGTTCTTTATATTAAATTTCTCATCTTTTGTTAGGTATGCGACATGTAAAGAACTAAAGCAAGCTTAAATTGGATGACGATTTCGTCAGATATGATGTCTTACTTCTACAACAAAGGTAATTTTACAAAAGTTAAGCGAGATTTATATCCACATTACCGACCTAATAACTTAGCTGAAGAAACATCTAGATAAAGTATGAATAAACATGCATGAGAAATCATATCTAAGTTAATATACCAACTTTTTAACTATTGACCATAAGCTGCATGGTAGGGAAAACAGTAAAACCTGTTCAAAAGTATGGGGAGAAAGAATAGCATGATTGTATTTTCTACATGTAAGATGCTGAATTTTCTTTACTTACATGTGCATCCATCTCTAGTGGATACAGTTTCTAAAGAGGCCTGCTTATGTGCAGTGGCTTTCCCTTGCTAACAACTTTAACTTCCGCTCCTCTAACTATATTATCTTTTCCCTTGATCAATCTCTCAATTGTCGCTCTCTTCTAAAATCCTCTTTTCAAACTTTCCTCAAACACAAGTACGACATCACCTACTTTCGGACACAAACTACCCTTAACTTTGCCAACCTTATGGCACTCCCTTAAACTTGTTAAGTATTCCTTCCTCCACCTGGACCAAAAATGCTTTCTCAATCTCCCTAAATACCTAAACCTACGCTTGACCACTCCTGCATCTTCGCCATTTATAGTATGCAGAATTGTTTCGTCTGGAATAGATGTTAATCTTCTTCCAAACATAACATGTGCAGGAGTCAGTACATTTACATTCACTTCATCTTCATATGCATAAGTCAATGATCTAGAGTTCAACGTACCTTGTACCTCAACTAATGTTGTTAACAATTCTTCCTTGTGCAATTTAACGTTACCCAACCCCTTCCTCAGACAACCTTTCACCAATGCTACCATTCTTTCAAAAAATCCACACCACCAGGGTGTCCTCGCCAAATTAAACTTCCATATCAACCGATAACCTTCCAAATATGACTTTACCTCCTTACTTCATAAATCCCCAGCTTTCTCAGATGCTTTAAATGTTTTGGTGTTGTCCGAAACTATTACCGAGGGTGCTCCCATTCTAGCAGTAAATCTTCGCATGCAATTCAAAAAACAACGTGCACTTAAACTATCAACTAAATCAAGATGAATTGCTCTTGTAAAACAGCAGGAAAATAATGCGATGCATACTTTAATTTGACTAAATTTGCCAAATTTTATCACACACTCTTTATCTACTACCTGTGTGTAAGCCAATACTGTCTTCCCGACTTCCACAAGACTTTCCTCTCTAGTTTTAACCTCTTTTGGCATGGGCCAATCACACTTGGGACCTGACAACCACTTCGGTCCTTCCACCAAATTTCACTTTCCTTTAATTGTGATGTCGTAACTCCCCATGAACCCATGTCCGCAGAAATGTCTACACCCGGACAATGTTTCCAATTATCCTACCTGCTCAATCTTAAAATCTCGTTAACCCTATGGCGCACAAACTGTTTCTATTTTCCCCTATTACCGATCCAGCACAATGCAGTCATACTGTCCAACCAATAGTATGTACCATTAATGTGAACGTAACCTTCTAAGGCCAACTTCACTGTGTCCATTAACTGTGCTAATATTTTAGATGACATCAGTTCTAGTCTGGGAATTGTCTGCAATTTTATTTGCGCTATCCTTGTTTTCGACGTAAGCAACTCTACGTGGTAGGCACCGTTTAGCTCTGTCACAAAATATACGACCGCACAGTATGCCTTTTGGCGGGCATCTGCGTACCCATGCCAGTAACACTTTACCTTACCAAGTAAATTAACATACACACATCTCGCCACAACTAAATCCCTGACTCTCTCTAAATCTTCTATCCACCTCTCCCAACGTTGTTTTTGATACCTTCCAGCTCTTTATCCCATTCAGCTTTCTCAATACACAGCTCCTGAAACAATAACTTAGCACAAACTATAACTGGACTTATAATAACTAAGGGATCGAATAATTCTGCAAGTATACTTAGTATATTTCGTTTACTTGGAATGAATGCCTATGCTCTTTAAGCCAATTTTTAGAGGCTAAATACAAAGCGATCAGATTTACACTCCCATCCCAATCCTAGTACTTTCTCAAAACTTCCAGTGATACTATTTTCCCCAAATGATGCTTTGGCACAAGTTTGCTCACTTTCGAATTACTAAATTCTGCCCTTCTTTCTTCTAAAATGCTTCTTTCTCTCTTTTTTATTTTTTTCAAAACATTCTCATCGTTACTTAGCCACTTCCTAAGGCTAAATCTTCTCGCAGCCAATCACTCACTTGCTGACTCATACAACCTCATTACTTTTTTCTTGGATTGTTCACCGGACACTGGATCGTCGACATAAAAGCTATCTCTGATTTTATTGACAAATTCCTTGTCTATTTCTATGAATGAGTCTAAATGATACTGCAGTGTTGCATTCAACAAAAATGGAGAGCAGTTAATACAATTACTCTACAAAATTGATATCCTAAAGGTCTCACCCTCTCATTGTTTACATCATCAACCCATAAAAATCTTAGGCAGTCCCTGTCCAAAGTATCAACTTCTATATTCAAAAATGCCTTTTCAATGTCTGCCACTAAAGCGACTCTCTTCTCTATAAAGTCCAGGGGTTCTTAACCTGGGGTCCATGAGCCCCTAAGGGGTCCATGATGGTGCTTTAAGGGGTCCGCAAATCCAAATAAGAATATCTACAGTAGGCTACGTATTTCTATTGACCGATTAGAACAGGGGTTCTTAACCTTTTGTTGGTCACGGACCCCCAAAACATTCTAATGAAAGCTTTGGACCCCTTTAGAAGAAACACATCGCAATTGTCAAAATTAGCTTTTAATTAATTTAGTAATATAGTCCAGAAATTTGCAGACCAAACAGAAGCAAATTAATAATTCAACGAATAATAATGAATAATAAATCAATTACCGAGTCAATTAAGTTATACAACAATTACAAAACCATAAAGAATCAAAATACAGTGCAGTAACCAATA